AGGGGAGCCTAGACTCACTGAGCAACTAGTGCTCACGACTCTACTTGTGTTGCAGGTAACCATTAGAGGGTAGACCACCGGAAGCCAAAGGAACGTTAGGAAATTCAGCAGTAGATTTCCTTGCTTTTTGTAAATGAATAATNTTTATTATGTACATGNTCGTTTTGGAGTGTTAGACTCACAATTATATATGTTTGTATCACGTTTAAAACTTATGTATAAATTATATATAAAAAAAATCGAGTTTGCATAAATTCGGATTTTATGTGATACTAGTCCTTGTCCGGACGAACTAACCATTGTGTATGTCTCGGGTTGNCAANCCTTGAGATGTATCTAATGGGGACGAANGCTTAGAAGTCTTGTCNAGGGAATTTGGATATGTTCCAGGAACCTCTGACCGGACATCTAAGTGTTCGTCAGTAGCGTTTCCGGTCTATAAATGATCGGGGGCGTTACACTTAGGATCATAAGTCAAGATATGGTGGATCCTAACTTTAGAAGCTTTGTTTATATCTTATAGCTTGTCTTCAGTAAAGTTGGAAATTGGACATATCATACAGATCTCGACCTCTCTAAGCTCCTAATACACGAAATCAAGGCGACAATCATATCGTAGATTCAAGTCTCTGTCATACTTCTCTTTGAGTTGAAGGTATCTGAACTTAGAATGCATGACTTGGGAGATCTACCCACCATTTCAAATATTTCATCACGATTAGTTGTCTCCTGTTTGAAGAATGTCAAAGACCTTTACGTTCTGTTTTGTGCTCCAATTGGTCTAGGTCAACAATAAAGATAATTAAGAAGATAATAACCATACAAACCAAACAATCGAAAGACAAAATGAAGAAGAATAAGTAGAACTACCTGCTCAAGCTTTTTACTGTATGTCTCCTTTTGTTTCAGAAGATTATATTATATACTGCACTCAATTTCAGAGCTACCGGATCTCCTAAAATAATCATGCAAGATAATAAACCTTGAGGCAATGTCAAAGTTTAGCTTTTGCACATTTTTTGTCCATTAGTTGAATCATTTTGGAATTGATGATAAAACATGTTTTATATTGAAAAATAAAAATATAAATGATTTCTTAATCTTTTTACAAAAACGTTAAAAATCAACTAAAATGAAACAGAGAGACTATGAAGTAAAATTAAAACTTAAAAGAGATAAAGAGAGAGTGTTTGGGGTCTTTAAACATAATTCCTCTAGAAACTTTTTAAATTGTTTGCGTATAAGTATCAATCACTAGCTACTTCGCTGACAACCCCAATACTACCTTTTCTGTTGTTTCTGACGATATCTTGCCGATAAATGTTCACATGCTCTTTACTTACTGATGCCAAAACTCAAATGATGAGACTAAATGCTAATCTCTAAGTGAAATGAAACTACTGAAAAATTTGAACAAGGTATCTTCTCCTCAATCTTTCTCAAACCATGAACTTCGAGGTAGATTTTGTTTCCCTGTCAAAGCAAAGAGAAGTAACTGTCTTGCTTTATTAGCTTGTGCAACATAAAGAGACGTCTATCAAAAAGAAAACGACGACAATATTGTTTGCATTGAAAAGTTAGATAAGTTTACTCTTCGGCTGAACTTTAGTGTTGTCCTTAAAATCGTGAAGAATTCCTTCTTTAGGAAGATGTAAGTCTTATACCCAAACATATATTCTCTTTAGATTTACCCTTTGTTAGAATCGATATGTTTTAGATCCTAACGGAAAAGGAAATAGATATGATCATGACTATAAGTGGCCTTTGTGATTAGTTGCGCATTCACAAACTGATTTTCTGTTCTTTCTTTCATGTTAAATCATGAAACGTAAGACACGAAAAAAAAAAATAATAATAATAGAAAAAACATAAATTAACCAACAAAAAAAGTACTATAGAATATAAATGGTTTTAATATATTAAATTTTAGAGATAAAAATAGAAAATTAGTCATAAATATGCATTAAAATTAAAAAATAATAAGTAATATGAAACAAAAAATTAAATTTAAAATAACAATGAAATGGAAAAAATAGTTAATATCTTATACTTTTTTCTGTTTGTCATTAGTACTTTGCATATGAGTATTTGCCTTATTAAATTCTTTTAGGTTGTTTTGGGGATTTTAATGTGATTCTAATACATTTTAAGGGGTATTTTCGGGTATTTCACATATATACTATTCTCTGCCAAGTAAGAACCAACAGTGGTCATCATCATCAACATGTTTAAAGTGTATTCACGATCATCTAAAAATGCAAGAACCCATTAAAGCTTCGACGCAGAGAATTTCAAAATCCTCTCTCTCTCTACTTCCGAAGTTTTGCTCGTAGCGAGAGGTAAATGCTTTG